CCAGACTCCTGTGAGGCAATCTTCTTTTTATTTTTTTCTCTTTTTTTGGGTTGTTTCTGCTCTCCCTAAAAACACAAAACCTCTACCAAATGTTGATGTATACCATAAAGGAGAAACATTTCTGTAAACAGAATTCAAGAACATATTTTAAAAACTGGTTTGTGCAATGCATCACAAAAGTTGGTTCATGGACAGAAACCATGTAATTATCTTAATAGGTGCAGAAAAAGTTTTCAACAAAATACCCTTCATAATTAAAGTTCTGTTGAAACTAATACTACAAAGGACATATCAACATGATAAAAGTCATATATAACAAGCCTAAACCCGACATTATACTAATGGGGGGAGCTGAAAGCATTTCCAACAAGATAAAGAATTAGACAAAGGTGTCCCATCTCCACTCCTACTCAATATCATGCCTTTATGTAGAACAATATGATAAAAGGAAAATAAAAGAGATATAAGTGGGAAAGAAAGTAAGAGTAACCTTATTTGCAGATAATATAATCTACATACGAGACCCTAAAGACTACAAGAATACTAAAGCTGATTTTTTAAAAAGCACTTTCAGCAAAGAGACAGGATACAAAATCAATATACAAAAATGAGTAGCTTTCCTAGACACTAATAATGAACATGCTGAGAAAGAAATCAGAAAAATAATCCCATTCACAACAAAGTATTTTAATAAAGCTAGCCAAGTGTGGTGATATTTTGTTTGTGATCTAACATATAAAACTTGCCTGAAGATCAGAGTGAAGAGCTAGCCACACTAGTTAGTCATAGCTGCCAGGCAGTGGTGGCACCTACCTTTAATCCCAGTACTTGGGAGTCATACCTTTAATCCCAACACTAGGGAGGTGGAGACAGGAGTGATAATGGCTGGTCAGAGAGAGGAATCTAAGGCAGGGGGAGACAGGAGTTCAAAGTATTCAGTCTGAGGATTTGTAGAGGTAAAAGGTCTTTCTTGTGGCTGGCTCCCTTCTCTTACCTTTCAGCATTTATCCAGAAAAAAACTCTGGGTTTTTATTATTAGGATTTATTAGGATTTGTGCTACAGTCAAGGAAGTAAAAACTTCTACAGTGAAAACTTTAAAACACAAAGAAATAAATCAACAATACTATAAGATGGAAAATCATCCCATGCTCATAAAGTGAACAAATAATTATGGAAATAGCTATACTATCAAAATACAATCTACAAATTGGATGCAATTCCCATCAAAATTCCTGACATCATTCTTCTTTATAAATGGGGGTTGGCTGAAAATTCAGAGAAATACCAAAGACCTGTTAGTAAAGCAATCATGAGCAAAAGAACCATGCTGGAGATTATCACCATACCTGATTTCAAATTGTGTTACAGAGAGATAACAATAAAAATATCACTGGCATACACTTTTAATACCAGCACTCAGGAGGCAGAGTCAGATAGATTTTCATGAGTTTGAAGCCAGCCTGGTCTACTTAATGAGTTCCAGGCCAGCCAGAGCTACAAAGTAAGACCCTGACTCAAAAAGAACAAAAAGCATCATAATACTAGTACAAAATCAGAGACATAAATCAATGACATCACAGGAGACCCAGCTACTAACAGACAGCCACAAGAATATTTTTTACAAAATCAGAAAAATGCACATTTGAGCAAACTGCCTCCTCAACAAATACTGCTGGCAAAACTATCTACACATGGAAGAATAAAACTAGACTTTTGTCTCCCACTACATACAAAAGACAACTCTAAACAGATCCAAACTGTAACGAAAAAACCTGAAACCCTAAAAACTAATAAGGACAAAGTAGAAGAAACATTTAAGATAACAGCCTTGGCAAGCATTTCTAAACTCAGTCTCTCAAAACATAATGCCAACAGTGATAAATGTGTTTCCATGAACAAAAAAAAAAAAACAAAAAACAAAAAACAAACAAAAAAAAACATTCTATACACACTCAAGGAAATAACTGCTTACAGAACAGAAGAAATCTCCACCACTATAATCTAACAGGGGGTTAAAACCTAAAATACACAAACTCAAAAACCTGATCACCAGTGATCAAAAAACTAACCTACCTAATCAAAAACTGGTCTAATGAATTAGACAGTTCTCAAAAGATGAAGTACAATCTGGCAACAAATGTATGAAACCAAGAATGTTAGAGCACATCCTTTTTTTTTTTTTTTCCAGTTTAAATTTAGATAAGAAACAAGGTTGCTTCACAAGTCAGTTCCAGGTCCCTCTCCCTTTCCCTCCCCTCCTCCCGTGCCCTCCCCCCAACCTCCCCCCTGTTAGCCCCTCATTTCCCCAGGGAGGGTGAGGCCCTCCATGGGGGTGTCCATAGTCTGTCATTTCATATAGGGCAGGGCCTAGACCCTTCCCCAAGAATTCAGGGTGAGAGTGCACCTCACATTGTTCTATGGGAGTCCAAAGTCCGTGTGTATACTTGGGATGGGTACTGATCTGCTGCCCAAGGCTCAATAGATTCCCTAGGCCTCCATACTGACACCCAGATTCAGGGGGGTCTTGATCAATCCCATGCTGGATTCCAGGCTGATGCCTGGGATTCAAGAGTTAACCTTTGTCTGGTCAGCTGTTTCTGGGGGTTAAACCAGCCCAGTCTTAATCCCTTTGATCATCAGTCCTCCCTCTCTGTTACTGGCTTTCTTGAGTTCAGCTCAGTACTTAACCAAGGGAGTCTGCCTCTTCTTCGATTAGCCACTAAATGAAGTTTCTGTTTCCCAGACTCTCTGGCCATAGGATTGTAGGCTGGCACTCCCCAGATCTATGTCTAAAATCCATATATGAGAGAGTACATGCCATGTTTTAGAGCACATCCTTAATCCCAGCATTTGGAACAGAAGCAGATGGATCTTGAGAGCTAGGCCAGCCTGGAATACACATCAAGTTCCACATAGAGAGATCTTGTGAAAATGTAAACTAGTCCAGAATGTGTTAGTAGGTATGGAGATCCCTGGAAAAAGCTAAAACCAAATCTACCTTATGACTCAGGCATACCATTCCTGGCTATTTGTCCAAAAGTTTAAAAAAGAAAAAAAAATCACAGAAAGGCTTGCACATCAATGTTATTGCACCACTGCCCATCAACCGAGGAAAGGAAACAGAAAATGTGATTTATATACAATGCAATTTGTTTCTGCCATGAAGATGAAATTATGTCACTCTAAGTAAAATGGGTACAACTGGAGAGAATTACATTAAGCAAATTAAGTCAGTCTCAGAAGGGCAAACACTGTTTTCTCTCACTCATGGGTCTCAGACTAACTAGGTACATAAAATGCTGTGTGTGGACTGGTGTGGAAGTAGAAGCAAAACTGTCTGGGAACAAAGGAGAGTAATGGAAAGGGGGATGTGTGAGAAATGTGAGGGCAGTGAGGGATGGAGGGGATAAACCCAAAGCACATTACATACTTGCATGAACAGGGCCTAACATAATCCTTTATCATAAATCAATTATTAAAACATCCCATGAGTTTCTGCTTGTCAATCACGTACAGGACTGCTACAGCCTTCTACAATGAACATTTCTTCACTCCTCCCTTTAAAATACAGTTTTATTTTGGTGTTTAGGAGGACTACTAACTTTAATATTCTACTACATGTTTTAAAATACGTAAATGCACGGCTACAGTTCAAAGTCATCCATAGAGAAGGTCAAGCTAATGGACATATAACACTAGAGTGGCTGGAGAGATGGCTTGGTCATTAAGAATGCTGGTTCTCCCAGAAAACCCAAGATAGGTTCTCAGCGCCCACGGTGGACACTTAACAACCACCTCACACCTTCCTCTGACCTCAACTGACGCACACACAATAACACATTCACAGACACACACATACAACATACATGTAAATAAAAATAAATCTTAAGTAACATTAGGTAAATCATGTAGTACCAGAATTCACTATAAACTTAGGAGTATCCTTATGATCAAGCTGCCCTCCTAAGATGAAACAATGACAAAATTCTTTTCTTTAGCATTTAAATGTAGCTTTTCACATTACAAGGCAGGCTCCATCCCAAAGATGACAAGAATAAATCTGTTCCAGCTGTCAATTCATTCCCATAAGAAAAAATTCAGGTGAGTTTAACTAAACCTGTGACGATTTTGGTAAAAAAAAAAAAAAAAAAAAAAAAAAAACCAAGGCATAATGGTATATTTCCAACTTGTAATCTTTTGAGTTGGGAATCACATAAACTGTATTTTATGCCCAATGCACAAACTACTTATAGAGATTGATAAGACCGTACTGAGAAGGCTACTGCAAAAACATTACTAGGTGTACTAAGGGCTCCTTTTAACTTTTTTCAAATATACAAACCAAGTCAGTCAGATAAATCTGAAATTCATAGGACTGTAATTCTACCACATGCAAAACTGGATCACTTAACTAACAGCCGCCTGGTAATAATTTTTTTTTAAACAACACTCTGAGGTGAACTTTTTACTTCAATCCTGCAACCATCCCCAAGAAATATTTATGTGTGTGTGCGGGAGTGTATGCACACATGTCATATATATGTACACACATGTGTATCTACAGTCGCAAGCATACTCCCTTGGGCCTGGGATAGGTTTTGAAGGAATAGGGGTGGAACAGAGTTGTCTGGGGGAAAGCAGACCAACTCCAGGTAAAGGCCTCTAGGTGAAAAAAAAAAAAATACCGTTAAGGTTAAAAAAAAAAAAAAAACTCCCCTTTATGACAACTCCCTTCCTTTTGGAAAGAACAAATACCACTGCCACCCCAAACAACGACTCTGGCAACATCCCAAGAGCACCCGGCCCGAGGCCTTTCCTGTCACCTCCGGGCAGCACACGCACATGCATACAAACGCGCCCCTGTACACTCAAGCCACACTCCCCGAGGTGTGTGTGGCTAGCAAAGCTTCCACCGTTCCCTGCGGGCCTAGCCCTGGGCAGCGGACCCGCAAGGCTCGAAGCCGCGCTGGGGAGAGGAGGGACAGGCGGCATCGCTCACCGTCGATGTTTTCCCTGTCGCTGATGTGCTGCAGGTTGCAGCCCGTGTCCTCGCGGCTGAGGTCCGTGTCGGGCCGGTAGGACTCCAGCCGCGAGTGCGCATTCCTCCGGAGCTTGGGGCTGGACGACACGCAGCACGAGGTTGTGTTCCCCATCGTCGTGCGCCTGGCTGGTAGCCCCGGGGCGCGGGCGCGGGCTCGGGCGTAAAGGCAGGGCCGCCCGCGCCCCGCGGAGGGCGAAAGCCGCGCCGGCCCCGGGTCAGCAGCGACGGCGGCGGCGGGGCCTCGCCATGGACGGCGGCGACAAGCGGGCGGCTACGGCGACCAGTAGGCAGCGGCCCGGGCTACTACGGCCTCAGCCCCTGGTTCGCGGCGGAGGAGCCTGAGTCCGCGACTGCGGCCCCACGCAGAGCTCACCCCGCCGCGGCCATGGCGGGCGGCGCCGCGCAGGCCGCCTCCCACCACGCTCTTGTACGGCGACCGGCTCGCAGCCGCGACTTCGTCAAGCGGTTCCGGTTCACGCCGGGGACGCGCGAGCTCGCGCGGAATAGCCAAGTGCGCTGCAGGAGTGGGAGCGTCCCCGGCGAGGGCAGTTCCGCCCCACGCCTCCCGGCGTCCGTCCCGTCCCGCCCCGCCCTTCTGCGCGGCCCCGCCCCACGCCCTTGCGCTTCCGCTGCACCTCTCCGCTAGGCCCCGCCCCCTGCCCGCGGCCCCGCCCCCTCCCCTCCCCTCTGCTCTGGAAGCAGATTCTTGGCACAGGAAGGTGTGCTGTTGTGAGCACCGGGCCCGAGAGTCGTCGCCGACAAGAGTGCAGTGCGGCTCTCCGCTCTTCCGCTTCCAAGTCGCAGAGGCAGGAAGTAGACAGTGGCCCCGGAACCACGAGGGGGGCGCCCACGGGAGGGAGTCTTAGCGCTGCCTCTTGGCTGCTGCAAGCTGATGATTTCTGAGTGTCCTAAGGTTGGAAGAAGCTCCGGGCTCAGTTGGGAGCTCACCCTGCTCTGTCAAACTGCGGAGGACTTGAGAACGAGCCTGGGAACTGGGGCTGACGAAGTCATGACGAATTAGCTGCGGTTTTCCGAGTTTTGCACTACACTTGTTTTATGTTTCACTTGCCGTGGATTCTGTACTTGGGTCGGCGCCGTGAACCAAGATAAATGTTGGAAAGAAGTTAAGGTGAGGAAAACCACCTTCTCGGTCCTTTCCAAAGAGCGAAGGGGGCTGGGGCTTTCTAACATCCCCCACCCCACATACTTGTGACTCTCGCCTGTTATCCCAGCAGGGTAGAGAAGACTGGAATGATCAGGAGTTGGAGATATTAGTGGAGTCAATGGAGGGAGGGAGATGCATGAGGAAACATCTAGATGCTTACTTGGCATTAGCACTCTGTGCCTGTCCGGTTAAAGGCTTTCTGTTGTTCACACTTACTCTTTTTTTCAGCCTGTGCAGTCCACCCACGGCATGGAAGGGTTCCTACACTGTTGCTCTACAAGGGTTGAGGAGGGTCCATACTCTTGAGCTGTAAAAATGTCATTTGGTGGGATGAGTGGCCGAATGCCTTAGGAAATGAATGGCTGCAGAGTGGTGCTGACCAGATGAGACTAAATGTTAGTGGGGAGTTCTAGAGATTCGCAAGCCCAGGGAGGGTGGTAACGAGCACCAAGAGAAAATGATGTTCTTTATTAAGGTTGTACTGACCTTCCCAGTGTGAAATGGAAATGGAATGTACTATCTTTTCTTTCATAGCTAAATGAGACAGAAGGAGTTCCATCTTTAAAGAGTTTGGTGAAGATGGCACCTGGAGAAAAAAAAAAACCTTCGCCCTGTTAGCATTTTGTGAAAGTATGTGCTCCGGGTTGTATCCTGTTCCCCAAAGCTTCACTTTGCCTATCAATCACCCTGCTTTTGGTTAGTCCGTCTCATAAGGGTGTGAGACCAGGCTCTGAGACCCCTTTGTGTTAGGAAAAAACCCAGGAGCACATCCAACTGTGACTTAACCACTACACACCATTTTACAGAGGCTAAACCCTTTGTCTTGCCACATTTTCTTCTGTCTCTCAGACCTTCTAAAAACAGGAATGTCTGGGACATATATGCAAGTCAGCCAGGACTCACATTGAGACTTTCTGGGCTAATGTGTAAAGTAAGGAGGTTGGTTGTTCTTACAGCTTTGCAATTTGGGGTGCTGTGTGCGAGTGTGTGCATGGCATATCCACCCCGACATAGTAAATAGCAATTTAATCATAAAGCTCATAGACATGTTGACCTTATGTTTGAAGGTCATGAGAGGAATAGGAAAGCACCCAGGAAACCGCAGAGTCTGTATGCGGATCATTGGAAGAACTTGGGAGTGGAGGGAAAGGTGCAATTTTGGGTCATTGAAGCCACCCATGGGTGCTTACCACATGGTAGAACAGTCACTGTTCAGCCAGGATGTTTTTGTCCCCTTTTCTTTTCCAATCCCTCTTTGACACTCCCACCCCATTCTCTTTAGAAATTGTGTCTTTTTAGACTTGCTGGGGAGTTTGGAATGGACATTTAGGCATTAAGCTTTAGTAGTGATTCACCTAGTTGTCACCTACCCTGAATATACATAAATTTACTTCATATTCCAGGCAGAGGTGCCACTGGACTGACACACAGTGGCATTTAGGGAAGAATTTTGTACCCTAGCAATTCCTGGCAGAGTTGTGATGCTAAAATAATGGTTATATTGAGCCAACACCTAGATGCCATGCACTGTTTTGGTTTGGTTTCTCACATTTAGACCTATTTTCTTATCCCCCACTTGACAAAAATTTTTAGTTTTTCCAGACAGGGTTTCTCTGTATTGTTTTGGAGGTTGTCCTGGAACTAATTCTGTAGACCAGGCTGGCCTCGAACTCACAGAGACCGGCCTGTCTCTGCCTCCCGAGGACTGAGATTAAAGGCATGTGCCACCACACCTGGACAAAAATTTTTAAAAGCAGGTAACTGTATAATAACAAAAACACTGATAAATGGGCAAAGTATTTGAGTTTGGCTCTAATTCCAAAGTTCAGCAGTTTTAATTTGAGGTCATGAAAATTTGATGTTAAATCATAAAAATATAATTACTTTCTAGTTGTGAATTTTCTGGTAATAATAATGTTAAGTGATTTTTATTTATCCAAAGAGGACAGTTTCTCGAACCAGTTGCTTTCTTTTTAGTCTCAGCTTTTTGTGTGTTTTTATTTTATTTTAGTCTGTCAGATGACTGTAATTCCTTAGCTTTGTGTAAAGGTTTTAAGTGAACAGTCTATGAAATAATATAAACACTCAGTAAGAAACATTGTTTTTTAATTTTTTAACATTTTAATGTAAAGTGTATTTATTTAAAAAAAATACAAAATGAGCTACAAGTCTGTCTGTTTGTGGCCTTTCCTTGTTTTCTTTTACTGAAGTGGGGTGTTCCTCTCCACCTCCTCATGGCTCTGGCCAGACCAGAGGTCTTGTGGGGATGGTATGGGGGCAGAGAGTAGGCTACATCTCTGTTACCATGTGTGGGATCTTTATGGATCATTTTGGCCTCCCCTTGGTTGTTTTCAGTCCTAGCAGTTGAGGGGTACTTAAAGCTTGGTCAGGCTGCATATGGAGAAAAACTTCAGGGATCTAAAACTGACAAAGTGTCAGGGGCTCATGTTTTGTTCATCCCACCCTTCCCGTTCCACAATAAGTTTAAAACATTGATTTCTCTGATTTTGCCCGAATGGTAGCTTCAGCTTCTGTTACATGAGCATTAACTACATCGAAAGTACGTGAGGTTCTTAAGTGCCAGCTTTTTTGCTATCCCTTTGGAAAACATGGTGAAGGTTGATGGGTGGATTGTTGAAAGAAAAAGTCATATGATCCTGAGGCAGGGAGACAGAGACAATTGTGATGTTTGCCTTTATCAATCAAGCAGGGCCAGATATTAAGAGAAAGTTACAGTCTATAGAAAGGTTAGGAGAAAAGCCCCTTATGGATTTAGTGGCAGTGGTGGAGAAGGTTTACACCAAGGGAGAGAGTGCAGAAGACAAGGAGCTTAGAAAGGAAAAGAGACATGAAGAAAGCCTGACTAAGATCCTAGACCTCAGCAGGCCTGCCACTGGAAAGAACTGAAAGAAATCCTTCTGGCTACGGGTGCAAGAAAGCCATCTGGAGAGGACACCTCTCAGCCAGGCCCAGGCAACGAAGAGGACAAAAGATAGACAAAAATCAATGTGCTTACTGTAAAGAGGAAGGACACTGGGTAAGAGACTGCTCCCGAAAGCAAAAGGAACCACATCGGGTGCTTGAAGCCTTCCCAGTCATCCTTCATAGGGACGATAGTGACTAGGGGGTACGGGGCTCAGTGCCCCTCCCTGAGCCCAGGGTAACCCTTGAAGTGGAAGGGAAGAGAATTACCTTTGTGACGGACATGGGGGCTGAAAATTCAGTCCTAAGTGTGCATGGACCCATGACAAATAAGACAACACAGGTGCAGGGCGCCACCAGCTCCAGGCCCTACCAATGGGCTACCCAAAGATTGGTGAATTTAGGCACAGGACAGGTAACCCACTCTTTCTTAGTAATAACTGAATGTCCATATCCACTTATGGGACGAGACCTCTTGTCTAAAATGAGGACACATATTTTCAGAACAGGGGGCTGAGCTCAGGAATGCAGATGGGACCCCAATACAGGTCCTTCTGACTACTCCCCTGGCAAAAGAATACAGGCTGTTTCAAAACATGCAAAAGGGGCCAGACCAAACGATGTCAGAATGGTTAGCCAAATACCCACAATCTTGGGAGGAATGGGACTGGCAAAACACCAAACCAGCCACTGACCCTAGTGAAATTAAAAGCTGGCACAAAACCTGCAAACATACGCCAGTATCCTATGCCCCTGGAAGCAAGGGAGAGGATCACCCCCACATCCACTACCTCTTGGAACAGGGAATCTTGAGGCCTGTCCAGTCTGCCTGAAACCCATACCTCCTACCAGTCAGATAGCCTCATAACAATGACTATCAGCCAGTCCAGGGCTTGCAAGAAGTTAACTGGCGAGTTACCGACATTCACCCCACAGTGCCTAATCCGTACACCCTGCTCAGCTCTCCCCCCCTAAACAAAACTGGTACACAGCACTTGACCTAAAAGATGCCTTTTTCAGTCTGGCATTAGCACCACAGAGCCAGTCATACTTCGCCTTTGAACGGCGGGACCCTGAAGCAGGAATTAACAGTCAGCTGACTTGGATCAGGCTGCGCCAGGGGTTTAAAAACTCCCAACCATCTTCAATAAAGCCTCACACAAAGACCTTCCAACTTCCGGGTGTGCAACCCCAAACTCAGGTTATTACAGTGGATGATTTACTGATAGGGCTGCTGACTGAGAAAGCTGCCTCGCTGCAACTGAGGACCTCCTACACACCATAGGAGAATTGAGTTATCGAGCCTCAGCCAAGAAGGCCCAGATCTGCCAAAAGCAGGTATATTCTGAGGTGGGAAGCGACGGCTCTCAGATGCCTGCAAGGAAACTGCTAAAAATTCCATGCTCCCCAAGACAAGTAAGAGAATTCCTGGGGATGGCCGGCT